CTGGGAGATGGGATAGGCAGCTGGATTTTTCCTAACCCAGGTTCCCCAGGAGGTGTCAGGTATGGGGTGGGCTTCTCCAAGGCCTAGCTGTCTGGTTCTCCTGTCTCTCACTGGCTACTATAGGAGAGTCCCGATGGTAGCCAGCATGTGCACGGGGATGGGACTGGCTGTTTCTCCCTGCGGGTGCTGGTTACTAGCGGGAAATTTCTGATGGCATCCGGCCTGTGTGGCTTAGGTAATTCTTTAGTAGAGAAAATCCTATAGGCTTTTCTACAGTGCCAGTTTATGTTAATTAATATGGATGTACCAGTAGTCCACTTGTTTAATGATTTGAGAGTGCCATGACCCTGGTTGTACTGGTCTTAGTATGTGAAGACTTCCAACATCTTGTCATATAGCACTTGTTATGTATTTCTTGCAAGTTGTAATGTAAACTTTTTTTTATCCTCTCTTAATTTCTCAAAATTCTGAACTATCAAATTCAAAAGTAACTTTCATTAATCTCTCAAAGCATAACTGTGCCAGGGGAGGCGTTGTTTCTCTAGCATCTGAATCCAGGAGATCTGAGCAAGAGCTTATTCATTTGAGCCCCTCCTGCTGCTGTGTCCCCATGAGGCACCTTCACACTTTACTTCTCTTCTGCTGTGATTCTGTACTTCACACAGTCCTCAAAATTCCCTGCCCAATGTGTATTTCCACCATTCTACAGTGTTTACTAACACAGGCCGTACACACTACAGTCCCAGTCCTCTGAGAGGCTGAGGCAGGAGGATCACAAGTTCAAGCCCAGAATGGGCAATTGAGAGACCCAACTTAGACCTTCTAACAGTCCCACTGTGCTTGGGATGTAGCTCCGTGTGAAGTCCCTGGGTTCAGTCTCCAGTGCTGCCCCAGAGAGAAAAGGTTTATGTTTTGTGGAGAAGAGCGGTATGGAGGGGATGTCATCAGTCTGTTTCTTTAAAGTGCCTTCCCATGCATGGATAATGCTCCTTTTTTTAATGCAGTCTTAGGAGAGGGTGTCCTTCCTTTGTGGCCCAGCAAGTGTCAGCTTGTCGCTTGAAGCCTCATGGGCTCTGCAGGCAGTGGCCCAAGGTGCCAGACTGTGGAGCTGCCTCTGGCTGGTCTGCTTCTCTTCTGCACGCCTCCTGCTGGGCTTCAGGCTGATGCCGAATGCTGTTACAGGTCATGACTGCTGTTACGACTGCTGCTACGGGTTACGGGTTGCAGGGAGCGAGCATGTTTAACTCTTCTGCTTCTTTAAATTTTTAGAGCACAATCTGCTGTGAAGAAACATTTCTCTTTCCATAGACATCATTTTGCTTCTACTTGTTGAGGAAATCCAAGGAATACGAGAAAATTACCTGCTGACCAAGATTTGGACTTACCTGAAACTGGAACTCAGTTTTAGATTCAGCAAAATCTCAAACTGTTCAGGCCTGGCTTGATTTCTGTAGACCATTTAAACTGATTTTCATTATTTGTTTCTCTTATAGAGCTGTGGAAACACCCCCCAAAGTGTGTTTTCCTGTTCTCATACACACAGCACAACACAGAGCACATCAAGAAGTGTTTTCTGCAAGTGTGGGCCAGCTAGGTGTCCTCTGACTCAGTTCTGACACTAATCACCTGCAGACAGCATCGGATCCACAGGTTCAAGGTTCAGTTGCGCAGGACTGTGTCTGTGTTAGATGCCCGGTGGTGGTTGTCACCTGTACCGCTTAGCCATAAACTGGGGTTTATGACTACTCAGTGTGTTGCTAGAAAGATTCACAGAACTCAGTGAAACACTTTCGTTATAGTCACTTTTATTGTAAAGGACGTTGTAGAGACTGCTGATGAACAGTGGGTGAAGAGCTGCACAGCATAAGGGGAAAAGAGAAAGGCATAGAGCTGCCATGCCCTGTCCAGGCGCTGCCTGTGTTGAGGCATTAAAAGCACCTCCCAGCCCTGTTCAATTGGGTTTTCCAGAGGCTTCTTTATGAAGGCATGGTTGATTACGTCATTGGTACTGGTGATCAGTGCAGTCTTCAGCCCGTCTCTCCTAACGGGGTGTTTGTGGTTTAAGTCTTGACGTTCTCATGAAGGCCCAGTCTCCTGTGACCAGCTCTCACCTAGAAGCTGCTTCTGTGCTCCCAGATGTGTCCGTCTCATCATTACACACAAAGGCAACCTCATTACTCCAGAGAATTTTTCCATGAGTTTCAGGAGCCTTAAGTTTAGAGGTCAAAGAGAACCACCAGATCTGTGTATCACAGCGTCACAGCTTTCAGCAGCTCCTCGCTGAGTGCCTTTGGCACTGCTGGTAACCCTCTTTCATGCACAGAAAGAAAGCGCTTTCTCCACTGGTGCCCTCTCTGGCTTGGAAATGCTTTATGGTTCCTTTTCTGAAGCTCTGTGGGCCTGTATATAGTCATGTTACCTCTTTAAAGTTTTAAAAACAAGACATTAACAGTAACTTCTTATAGTTAAAGAAAAAGATAAGTAAAATAAACCAGGTTTAAAATAACAAAAGGGAAGAGGTTATGTAAAACCTTAAAGGTTGTCCTGAATTGAGAAGTTTGACCCTCAGCTGGCTTGATGTGACATCAATCTTGGTTCCAGGTGGGCAGTGCAGGAGTGAGTGGCCTGAGAGGAAAGGGTACACTGGGTCTAGAGAGACATAAATGGTGGGATGTTGGAGCAGTGCCTGGAAAGACCAGGGATTAGCCAAGCATTCCAAATGGTGTAGAGATCTAGGAGCAGAGGGCAGGTTGCCTAGGCTGGGTTCAAATTTGCAATCCTCCTGCCTCAGCTTCCCAGAGTGGTGGGATTACAGATGAGCACCACCCATGCCTGGCTACAGTTAGGGGTTTTGAATGTGAATAGCTTCTGCAGGTTTTATAAGGAGTTTGGCCTAGAACACAGGTATGTATTTGAGGCTAGAGAAAAGAGGTAGGCATACTTGTTCATCAAGTATCTCTCATGCCATGCTAGAAGCTTACTCCATTTTAATCTTGATGGTAGAATAAATAATTGTACAGTCTTAGAGGAAGAGCATGGCTGATTTCAGAACGATCATAGTGTATGGCAGATGCATGGAAGGGTAACCAGCTGTGGTAAGAGCGGTACGTTTGGGACTCCAGGCTGGTGAGAAGTGATGGGACCCGGAACTCGGACAGCAGCAGGAGGCATGCCAAGGTTTGCAAGCTGCTGGACAGCACTCAGGAATCACTGCATGCATGGTGCCAGGAGGGAGGATGCCTGGGCTGCTTCTGCGTCCTTTCCTAGGTGATGCGGAGTGTGAAGCATAACTGGGAGACAGAACTTAGAGGAAGGGCATAGGAAGGCAGGAAGAGTGCGGCAGGTGAGGGGATCAGGGAGGCAGGGTTGGGGTTTGTGGCTCTGATCCCAGGGGCTACAGGTTGCTCCCTGGCTCAGACAGGGTCAGAGTGTAGAGCCTGCTGGTGTGGTGGGTTGATGACAGATGTGGTGGACACCTGCAGACTCCCTGAACCTGATCTGTCAAGGAAGGCTGGTGGGGGACCAGCATGGCGCAGGAAAGGGATGGTGAACTTTAGAGACAGATCCCCAAACTGCAGCCATCACAGAGTGCCAACACTGCAACTCAACTGGAATGCTGAGGTTTTCGTTGAGAAACAGCTCATACAGTGAAAGAAAAACACAGTAACAGAGCTTTCAGTGACAGAGACAGCCCACAGGGTGCAAGTGCCGTAGGTTTACTACTGCTGGCTGAGGAAAAGCTGTGGGGAACCAGAAATAATCTCCCTGACTGGGTTCTTAGAAAGGCCCCAGTGGTTCTGCTTCATTTTCAGGAGCTGAAGGTGGGAGCTGCTCAGATTATGCTGTGTGTCACAACATGACTTTTCTTTTCTCCAGGTAAAATTCACTAGATAGTATCATACCTTAAACTTACTTTCGACTGTAGATACTGATTGTAGATGTATCTGCCTGTCAGTTTTTGCCAAGTGTGATGGAAAGAACATCTTGGATGTGTCAGGCAAACAGTGGCCATAGGCATCGAGGGGCAGAGCACACATTACTGGTGGGCGCTGCTTCCTGGCCCTCTGACTGCTGGAAGCCAGCTGGCAAATTCCACGTGTGCATGCGTGGGACTTTTAATACCTTTGTGTTTTAAAAGAATGAGCCTTTGGGTTTTTTGTTTGTGTTTTTGTTTTTGGTGGTGCTGGGAACTGAGCTACAGGCATGGTACCTTTTACAGATCTGTATTCTGTTTGTGTTAGGGTTATCCAGACCAGCTTTATATTCCCCTAGTCAAACATAAAATAAGTTGGGTGTGGTGGTCATGCCTGTAATCCCAGTGCTTGGGAGAATTGTGATGAGTTCCTGGTCAGCCTGAACTGAATAGTGAGACCACAGCTCAAAAGGCCAAAAGAAAAAAATGCAGCTTCATAGAATAATTGATACAATAAGTCGCATTTTCAACAAGTGACAAAAATAAACTTGTGTCATTTACAGATGTCTCATTAAAACAGTACTTTCTTTTTGAGTCCTGGTGAGTCAGGTTTGGCCTTCTGGGTGGGTTCTTGGCCTGGACCATGCCCTCCTTTGCAGAGGGAGATCTCCTGGACTGTGCAGATGCCTGCTGGGGTGCGTGTTCAAAGCTCCCATGTAGCCCATTAGAGGCCACCGACTTCACAGTTCATGCAGAGAGCACTTCAGCTTGAAATTGATGTAAGCCAAACATTATGTGAAAGACTGTAGGCTCTGAGATGTGGTTGTGTTAGTTTAACAACAAATATGTATGAAGGTATTTACTAATATAGGAAGTGTTAAGGTATCATTGCCAGGGCATATGGTAGAATGTATATAGTCACTACTTTTGGAAGCATGATGATGGAAATGCCCATATTTTGTTAAGAGTTTAAAAGCACAAAAGTCTTATGCAATACCCATTTAAAAACATAGTCACAGAAAAATTTAAAATGAATTGCATGCTAATGATCTAATTGAAGAAGCATAAAATTGTTTTTCTGTTTCAGCGAATCTTCCTGTGCCCACCATCGCAGCGATAGATGGACTAGCTTTAGGTGGTGGACTTGAACTGGCTTTAGCATGTGACATCCGAGTGGCAGGTGAGAACTGGCCCTGTTCGGCCTGTGGTGGAAAGAAGTGCAGTGTGTGTTTGCTTCCGAGATACTTCCTTCTGTTTCCTGCAGAACATTTTCAGAGAGTCACCTGTGTGGCTGCACGATTTGTCTAAAATTCTCTTTAAGAAAACAGTATTGCTCTCTATCACTCAGTCTTAGCAGCAGAAAGAGACACCAAGGTTGAGGTGGGAAGGAACTGAGCTCCAAGCCCAGGTCCTACCCTTCTGACTTAGTTTTCTTCTCTGAAGTGGAGGAAGTGGCCCTTACTGTGTGAAGCCAGCCTAGGACATTGACTTGTGGGTGTGCTTGGTCTTAGCCCGCGAGTCATTGTCAGGTACAGCTGCAGTAGGTCACTCCCTTTGTTTTCATGGCTCTTCCTGAGTGGTCTTCTGTGGCCGCAGGGGTCAGTTTTGGATGTAATGGAAATAATGTCAGCCGTTCGCCGAGTGCTGAACCAGGGTCGCATACACCTGACTGGTACTGCATCCCACTTGGTCTCCCTAGTAGTCCCACAACCTGGTGCCCTGGAGTATAGAGGAAATCCAGAACAGGGAGAGGGTCACAAGCCCAGAGCTGGCGCCTGGCTGGGACCCCAGCCCTCGCTTGTTACAAAACGAGCGTGTGTCCAGGTCTGCCTTGCATGTGCTGCCTCACGTGGGCCTGAGATAGGGGAAGCAAATGGCAGCTTATTCACTTGTACCTTGGCATCCTTTCTATTTTATTTTAGGTCCCTATGTTTTTGAGGTGAAAGTATTCATTGTTATTTCTGGTGCTGGGTTTTAAACTGAAAAGCTAAAACACACATAATCCATTTTGAAAGAATACATATTCTGAAAATGAGGATATATGAAGTAGTCAGAAGTACATTTATATATGCATATAAAGAGAATTACAATACTGTAAGGTAGCCATGAAAGCAGACACAAAAAGAGGAGCCCTTTCAGCCATCACAGCAATTGAACTGTGTCAGAAAGTAACCCCGGCCTTGATCCTGAGATGTTGCTACATGTGGTATCATGTGTGTGTGCGTGTGTGTGTGTGTGTGTGTGTGTATATTAGAGACGTTGCTACATGTGGTATGATGTGTGTGTGTGTGTGTGTGTGTGTGTGTGTGTGTGTGTATTAGACATTTGAGGGTACCAGGAACTGAATCCAGGACCTTGTGCTTGCCAGACAGGCACTTGTGCCGCTGAACTATACGTCCAGCTTATAAGATATATGTTCAGGCAGTTAAAGAATTCATCCTTTTCAGACATAATCTCTCTCACAATCTTGAATAGTTAATGAAGATCTAAGCCTTCAAATGGGACTTGACAGTATCAAGTCTGATAATGTAGTGACAGCTCTGTTCTTCCACCATCAAAACTAGCTCCCTGCCAAGCACTGCTTAACAGAAAATGTTGTGTGATTCTCCTCATGTATGTCATTTAGAGTGTTTATTTTCAGAAATAAGTAGCTCTTGAAGTGTTTTTTTTTTTTTAAAGAATTGTGGCACCAGTGTAATTAGTATGCAGAGTATTTTTGGTATATCGTCATTTACTCACTTTCACAAGTTGTCATTAGAATGTGATGACTGAATGTTCCTTAATTTTCTTTGTCTTTTTTTTTTAGCTTCCTCCGCAAAAATGGGCCTGGTTGAAACAAAGTTGGCGATTATTCCTGGTGGAGGTATGAGTTCTTCTTCACACCTATCTCTAATACATTATGTGCTCCCAGGTAAAGGTTATAAAGCAAAAATAAACCAGGAAAGCAGCACTTGGGTGAAGAGATAATGCCGCCTTAGATAGCCGCTGTGTGAAGCAAGAGCCCCTGTTCAGTGGGGCATGCCCACAGCATCGTCCTTGAGAGGAGAGGGCAGTGATGTGCGGCTGTTGCTTGCTTTTCCAGCTGTCTCTTGTGCTTGTCTGTTTTTCTTCTGAAGCTTTAAGGACAGCTCACACTGCTGGCTGTCACGCTTGGGTGTTTTTTCTGAGAGCCATGTGGCGGCTGAGAGCCCTCACTGTGTGGCGAGTGTCGCGTGTCAGCCAGGTGGCACAGGAGCAGGCAGGGCTTGTGTGTCTGCCGGCTTTGTGTCACTGACAGCACCTGAGTGAAGCACCTAAGAAGCAGGGCAGCTTTGTCTGGGCTTCTGGTTTTGACCTGGGGAGGCCAGTGCTCAGCTCGGACCTGAGGCCTCAGTGGGAGCGTGTGGCCTAGGAGACTGCTGCCTCGGAGAGCTGGGACCCCAAGACAGAGCGGAAAGGGTTCCTCATAGCCCTTCTGGGGACAGGTCTCCCTCCACAGCCCCGGCTCCTTGACAGTCTCTCATGGGCAGGCATTTCTGCAGCTCATGCCTTTGGGGACAGTGGCATTTAGTGACGAAAGCCTCAGTGGTGGGCCTGCAGGACAGAGGCGGGGCTTAGTGAGCAGCTTGACGTTAGAGCTAAAGAGGTATTTTTTTCTCTTCCTATGAAAAAGATAGATAAGCTGCTTTTTGGGGGAAAGATCATTTAAGAAAACGCCTTCATAACATTCATAATGAAATCATGCATCTTCCAATAAATCTGAAATTTTTGCTATTTTGATTCAGAGAATTTGGAGATACTCCCATTTCGTGAAGTCACTCTTTCAAAAAGTAGACTTCATTTAAGAATGTGCCTGGCGTAGGAACCCTCCTTGTCCCTTTCACATGTAAGTGATCATTTATCAGTGTATAAATGAAATAACTGTCTAAAGATGTAACAGTGACTGTGTGAATAGGTTAAAATTGTGTGTTTAACCTTATTGTACAGTGTTTGTATAATAATAATTGTATACTGATTAGGGTTTACTGGGAGAAGCTAAAGCACAGGTTACAGAGAGCTGAGCAAAGCCTGCCCACGTTACTGTGTGAGAGAGACTCTTCTGTTTAGTAACCAGGAAAGGTCTGTTGCTGTGGGCCCAAGGAAGCATCACATTGTCTGCCTGTTCTAGGGGGCCTACCTGGTTTACAGTAAAACAAATAAGATCATTGGGAGGATTTAGGAAGAAACAGATCCGTGTGAAAAAATGATCAGATCACTAATATGTGAAATAAAGCAAACTTGAGTGAAAGCATGGTATGACAAGTCTCTGAAACACTTCAAGAGGCAGGTGCTCATCGGTGATTCAGGTGTAACTGACCCTGGAGAGGCCATGGCTATGGTGGGTCAGCTGGTACCTCACACTTCCCACTCTAGTGTATGTGACCCTAGGTCCTTGGGGAAGGCCCAGAGTGACACATAACTAAAGGAGCTTGAGGAGGATTGTCCTGGGTTATCTGAGGGTGGTTTGAGTCCATCGGGGAAGAGTACTTAAGAGAACGAAAAGGCATATAGAGATTTAGGAAGATACGAGGGAGGGAGAATGAATCTCTAAACTGTGCAATCCCAAAGATTTCCACAGTCACTGGAGAGGGGTGGGAAGGGTGCTGCTCGAGGATCAGTCCTGAGCACACTTTGATTTTGGGCTTCTGCCCTCTGGAACTGTGAGATAATAGATTCTTGTTCAGAAGCCACTGAATTTGTGGTAACTTATTGCAGCACTCCTAGGAAACAGATGCATGACTTTTTAATGCTGTGTTAGACAGCATTGGACCGAGTTTAGGGATGGGAAAAAGATGAGCTTGATGATTTGGGTATTTACCATGTTTTGAATAAGCAGTGTTTTGTGTTACAATGACTCTAGTATACTTACGTTCTTAGGGCTGTCTTCAGTAATGGATCCATTCCAGATCTGCTTTTTACACGTTTGATTGAATTTGGGCTGTGTTTTCTCATGAGTAGAATTATTCAAATTTTACTAAATAAAGTCATCATGAAGATCAGAGTGCTTTAAAATAGATGGTTCCCTGGCTCTCGTTTTTCTCATAACTAACTTGAAGGAATGTATTTGTTGTTTCTTTAATAAGGTGAAGCTTTCAAGTTCATAGCTCATAGTGTGTTAGGCAGCATTGCATTTTTAGAAAAATGACTCTGATTCTTCTTGAGGCCACATACTCAGATAAAAAGAGATACACTTTTATGGTTCACTTTTATGTATTGTGGTTCTTAAGGTACCTTGGGTAAAAGGCTTTTTATTTTATTTTGTTCTTTAAATTCTGGAGTAGTTTGAAATAAAATTTTATAGCCAGGCACAATGACACACACCTGTAATCCCAACACTAAGGGAAGCTGAGGCAGGAGGATTGCAAGTTTGAATCCTTCCTGGACAACTCAGCCCTGGAGATAGCCCAGCGGTATAGCATTCCTGGATTCTATCACCAGTACCACATGCTTACATACAATTGTACATGTGTGATCTAAAGGTGCTAGACAGAAGTTTTCATGTAGAAAAGCCCTCTTCCTCTCTGTTACAGATGATGGTTTTTATCTGTAGGTATCCTCCTAGATGATCATTATATGGAAAAACTGCTTTTTTAAAAAATGTCACTTCTAACTTGGTCCATTTCACCATGCCCGAGGTGAGCTCTGAGGCGCCCCCTTTTGGTGCCACACATTTACTTGTGTCAACTAGAGGCAGCTTAATTCCTGCCTCCCTTGGTGGCCTTTGGTGACTATAGATGCATGCGGGCCTGGGGGGGAAGGGGCGATGTCCGCAGGAAGGTGTGACTCCGCCCTTCCCTTCCCTTCCTCCTTGGAAGGGCCTTGGGCATAGTGGTTGGAGGCAAGAGGTGGGCAGAGCTTCTGCAGGACCAGTGAGAGAGGCGAGGATATGGTGGGAAAATAAGTGTGCCCTTTTCAGTATTGTGGAGACAGACAAGTGTCTCTAGGCAAAGTGCTAGAATTGTATCCATCCATATTCAGGCTTCCAATTTGTAGTTGTTGGTGCTGGTTTTGTCATGATTTTCTAGCGTAGGATGCAGTTTTACATTTGGCAAATGTATGATTTTTTGAAATCTTTTTTTTATTTAAAGAGAAAAAAGAAAGGGCATAAAAAAGCAGTAAAAGGGTACAAGTAATACAGAATTTCAAGAAAAAAAATACAGTAAGAAATCACTAGTTAATAGGTTACGTATTGTCTTAGAAACAGTTGTCCAAATTATAAAATTAAAGCATATAAAGTGGACATTCATACAGTGAGATTGGAGACAGTTCCGTTCAATGATCCCAACAAAAGCTCAGTAATACGGTTTTCCATCCTACACACTCAAACGTACATGCAGTTATATCCCTTAGTCCACCTTCCTTTCCTCTCTTTTTTATAATAACAATTACACTTTTTGGGTTTTATTACTCCCACAGTTCTTAATACTTTTTTTGAAGAGAATAAAACCAAACATGACTAAGCAAAACAGAGTCAGTTAGAACAGAGGATGGGCATAGTACATGATACAAAAATAGAATACCAGGTGATCAAAAGTGGTTACCATTGTGCCTCTTGCTATTTTTAAATTGAGTTGCCTATATCATTAGGTATAATAGAATTGATCAAAACAGTACAGAACAAGAGCAATAAAACCTACACCGGAGACCTTACAGGACTTCAAAAAAAGATAATAGTCAAACCATAATGGGCATTATAGTATATTGTATTGCCTTCAAAGTGGTTGCCTATACCCTCAAACTTGATACTATCAAACAAAATAGAATATAGTATAATCAGACAGAACAAGATGGGGAGAGCAGTACTGGAGTTCGAATCAGGTTAATAGGAAAACAAAAAAGTTACTGTAATATATCCTGCTATTTTTTAATTTAGTTTTCCCTTAATTGAAAAAAAATGAGAAAAAAATAGATTAATTTAAAAAGGGGGGGAGATTAAGATAAAAGAGGACATTGTAACCGAACAACGCAGGTCAGAACCGAACAATGTAAGCATCACTGTGTTTCACCACCAGATAATCTAACATAATAGTAGTCACCATAGTGCCTCTTTTCTTGAATTATTTGAGTATAACTTCGTATGCTATAGCATCAAGCATATCAAGACAGTGTGAAGCCATTCAAGAGAATGAAAGTATTACAGGGTATTTAGAACCAGCTAACAGAAAACGAACAACGGTTTCTATATTATCTCTTTGCCTATAAAAAATTTTGCTTATACTATCGCATATAGTAAAATGTAGTAAGATACAACATGTTAAAACCAGTGGAAACAGATGTACAACAGCTTGATGGGACTTAAAACGAGATGATATTAAATCAGCACTAGCTTTTATGTTGTGTTGTTTTCTTCAAAATAGGTATTTGTCCTATCACAGATACTAAAATAGAACAACCCAGGTTAAAACCATTGCAATTAATGAGTGAAAACATTATATGGCCTCAAACCAATATGACTGGGAATCATGATTACCACATACTTTTATGTATTCTTATCATTTCTTACGCTAGGGAAACTATTTGGTATTTATACATGTGAGTTTGATTTATTTCACTTATGAGTATGGTCTCAAGCTGCATCCATTTATTTATAAATGTCTCAGTGTGATCATTCTTTATAGCTGAGTAGTACTTCATTATATAAAAATACCACAACTTTTTTTTATCCATTCCTCAGTTGATGGACACTTAGGTTGTTTCCAAGATCTGGCTATTACAAATTGTGCTGCTATGAACATGGGTGCACATATATCACTGTGGTATGATGCTTTCAGTTCTTCTGGGAATATGCCTAGAAGTGGTATAGCTGGGTCAAATGGGGCTTCCAGTCCCAGCTTTCTGAGAAAT